TTTTTGTAATTTAGAGTTACAGCGTAGAAAGTCAAATAAGTCAGGTCACAGCGTAGAAAAGTGAAAAAAAACGAGGTTAGTATGTAGAAAAACCCAACTTTATTTTATTAATACATGTAATAAATCAATTCAATAACATTTTATTTGATAACATATTGTTTTAACGTAAACCATTTTTGATAAAAGCAACATTTATCACATTTGCCAACGAACAACCATTTTTTTTGTAAGATAAACTTTATTAGTTAGTGTTGTAATTATTTTAAATAAGAAGCATTTGTTATGACGATGGCCAGAAATCATAAGATGAGACACTGGTTGTAATTCTGTGGAGCCTTAAGCTCAACTAATAAGGGGGGCAAAACTGGTTCCAGTTCTGGTATTACGGAGTATATCTTATTTTCTTAATAAAAGCATTTAATTTTGGAACATATGTTCTACGCATATAATTAGTCTTGCAACTCCTAATCCTGCTTTCGCTGTATATATGTTATTATCTTGTTTTCCCGTGTCTCTTGCTCATACCCATTTTAGCATTTTTTATCCTCCATTTGTAATTGATTTAAACAACTAAAGATATGATTATTAATTTAATTTGAATTAAATACAGACCCGTGAAAACAATAAATGAGTGAAGAATTAGTGTTTGCTAATATCAAAATGAATGTTCGTAAGAGAATTTGTGGTGTAGAATAGAGTTGATCATGAATTAGTCGTGTCTTTTTACAAAACATAAACAATGTCACTTCAAATGAGCTACCCGTGAACTAGACTTTGTTTAGCAAAACTAGCAATAGCAGGTAGCTTTTAGCAGTCGAGTAACGGGTAGTTGTCAAGGTAAGGGGTAGCTGTCAATTAATAATGAGTAGAGGTTAGCTGTCAAAGTAATGTTAGATAGTACCGTATGATTGTTTGATTAAAGTAGTGGCTGTTAATTAAAATGCACATATGTTGTTTAATAAAGTAACCAAAAATTTACAACCGCTACCCGCTACCTTTAAAACGCTACTATTTTTAACATTTGACAAAAGCTATTAAAACGCTACCTCTACCACTAATCACTACTCGAATCATTACCTTGTCAAACGCTCTCATTTTTTTAAAGTAGTGTTTTAACTTGGGTCATATTTGGCAAATTAAAATTAGCGGTAGCGAGTAGCTTTTAAGCGGTCAAGTAGCGGGTAGCTATTAAAGTAGCGAGTAGCGAGTAGCTGTCAATTAGTAGTGGGTAGAGGTTAGCAGTCAATGAAGCGGTTAATAGTACTCCCTCTGTTTCGCATTAGTTGCAACACTTTTCATTTTTGGCCATTTCATAGTAGTTGCAACATTACTATATTTGAAAAGGACCCACCATTATTTTATAATTTTTTTCTCCCACTAACTTCACTTTTACAAATATTTTATTATTTCTCTTTCCTACCAACCCCACCCACACTACTTTTTTTTTTTAATTATTATTATTTCTATTTCTTACCAATAATATTTTATATTATAAGCCTATAAGCGTAGTCTATAATTTTCTTAAACTATGAGTCAAGCCTACTGTTGCAATTAATACGAAATAGAGGGAGTATCAGTGTTTGGCAAAAGTAGCGATTGAAATGTTAAAATACAGTAAAAACACATGCATAATATTTAAAAAGTACACAAAATTTGTCGAAAGCTATCCGCTACCTTTCAAACGCTAATATTTTTAATATGTGACAAAAGCTACTTAAATGCTACCTCTACCATTAACTGCTACATGAAACGCTACCTTATCAAACACGCTTTTTTAACCTACTAGTCTTTTTACTTGGCCCAAACCTAACCGCTACGTGAAACGCTACTGCCAAACAGGACCTTGGTCAAAATGCGAACTGCTACTTCAAACACTACTGTCAAACAGGGCCTAAACTCGAACAAAAAAAAAACTAAATGAACCAAGGTCAAACAATTAATTGAAAGCACGATTATCATGTACTTTGTATATCTCAAACAAGCTAAGATTGAGCTCGCCCCATTGACATTCCTATTATTGGCATGCATGTAGAGTGTCTTTTGAGGCTAATAGTGCAATAGCACGCGGAAAAAACAGAAGGTAGCACACGGAAAAAAGGGGGGCAAGTTAAGAGGAAAGAAATCAACAATACTAAAAGACCAAAAGAAGTGGGGTTGAGGTTGTGATGTTGGAATTGATGATCTCAAAATAGTGAAAACTAGTAGCGCCACACTTCCACATTGTCAATAACTGTTAAAGGACGATATCCCCACATCTCAAGAATTTTCAATAATCACGACAAATTGTTATTATTAATACTTGTATTTTACTAGTATTATAATTACAGTATTATTAACACTTGTATTAATTAGGACTTGGACCACCATTCATTTTTTTCATTTTTAGTTTAGCTGTTTTTAAATTTGTACTGTATATCTTAATAATATTGCAATTTGAACACCAGTCATTTTCCAATTGAAGGTAGAAATTGCTGGCACAAACTTTTGACTCATTTACTCATTTGTCATCCACTATTTGTTTTTATAGAATTAAATAGAACTCACCCACCTTCATTTAAGTATTTTTTTTCCTATGCGAGCCGTAATAGCCGTTTAATAAATATAAAGTATCACAATATTTGAACTTTTATACTATCTATTTATTATGTTAGAAATATGAGATCAAATCAATATCGAAAAACATATGTGTGACATATTTTCCATTTTGATATGTATCAAATCTCTATCATTATACTGTATATCGACAAATGAACATTTATTATGATTTATACGCAAAAGTATAATCTAACCATGTGAGATATTGTTAAATTTGTCTTGATATATATTTTAACTTTTTTTTTTTTAATTTTATAATTTTTACATTTAATTAAGTGAATATATTAATTGATAAAGTTGCAGTTTAAAAGCATAAAGCTTTACATATTGCAATATTTATGAAACGAATAAAATATTAAATAATTTTCGCACCAGAAATCAAATTAAAGTCACTCATGTCATCTTAATTAACATAACAATCAACAAGCGATTGCACCTATTATATCGAAATACACCCATTGTATATAAAACATGATAAATCCTAATCAACCTTTTAACATTTGAGTACATGTTATGCAATGATGGATTATGTATACTAATTATTGATAAAATCTGTAAAAAGAATTAACCTCTTTACTCTCTCTATACTCTTTCACCAAGAAACATTCTCTTAATCTATATTTGCTACGAGTACTCGCACTATTGTTTTCTCCTTAAAGGTAAAATGCTTTTGGCGAAAATGGCAATAATTAAATAAGGTAAAGTGGCTTGGCAGAGGCTCATAATGTCAGTCCTTAACTCAAGCCCAGAAAAGGCAGACACACCACATGAAACATGAAGGCCGCTAACATTTTCCCATTGTTTCTCTCTCGCACGCTTAAATTTAGTGCAGTAAATTATTTGTACCATCAGACTATTCAATTTTTGTGGTCCAAATTTACCAAAGTTATTTAAAACTCTTTTATATACACACGGGTACATATAGAGATAGATGCATCGAGTGATTCTTCAGTTCTTCCTCCTTTTTCCGATTTCTAGTACTGCAAATTACTCTGTAATTACTCTGTATTACAGTAGACTTTAGTAAAACTGTGTTGGTATCAAACAAAGCCTAACTTATATTAATACCAAACATTAGTATTTTGGTTTAAAACGAGTACCAACTAATTACACTTTAGTACTAGTAAGATTTTATAAGAATCCATTTTAAAATATTGTGACTCAAGCAACAAAACGATCAACTTAAGTGAGTTACTACCCATCTACACCTTTTGTATCTAAATAAATGGCTCACTTTAACTAGTATCTAAATAGTTTAATTTTTAAAATTTGATATTGCAAAAATATATAAAAGTTTACCAAATAGGCAAATAACACTTTGTTTTTGGGTATTCAAAAGTTGCAGAAAATGCAATGGTAACATAATAATACTAGCTTGTTGCATAATCTCAGTACTTAAATTCTGTATAGTATTCTTTCAAAGATTTGTACTATAGGTTTGCTGGGAGATCTATAGAATAACTCCCTTCATAAATAAACATATGCCACTAAATGCGGCGAGCACACGGTATTCTTTAGTAAAAGGCGAAAGAATAGTTCGCTTTCTGCTCACTGCGTGGCTGCGTGAAGAGAATCATAAAAGAAGCACCCTTATTTATATTAGTTTCTTAGCTTGGTTCTTCTCTTGTCCATGTGGGACAAATTTGAAGTGATAGTTTGTTTTCAGCTTAATATTCAGCAACGAAACTGAACCCTATAACATGTGGGACGTTGATTACCAAAATTTGTTAATGATGCAAATCAACAACGAATGCTCAATCAGGTTCGATCTTGATATCATTAGTGTATATTTTGTTCTACGTATGTTTCTGAATTGACATTTGGAGTTCTGACAGAAAACACTTTTGGTGCATAGTGCATTAAGCTTATGCTTAGGCTTCCTATGATGAATGCATCAGGTCATTATAGACTTGTAATTTACATGCACATTGCTCAGTTTTACTTATAATTGTGGAAGCTTAAGCTGAAGCTGAAGCTGAAGCCGAAGCCGAAGAGGGGGGGTTTGGAAATACTTTTCAACCAGCAATTTGTTATTACCTCACTAACTGTGTCATTACCCAAGATAGAGTTTAGATTGCCTAAGTTTTTGCTTACATGATGTTCTGAACTTCTGATATTAGGTTCACGACGAAAACAAAAACAGTATAGTAACAGCAGGTTTTAAAGATTTTGATGGTGGGATAGACTATATTTCACATGTAAAATCACAAAAATTATTACTCCGTATATCAATTAATCAAACCGCTACTAGCAATAGCAATAGCAATTTTATCAATAAAACCTCTATTCATATTTCAATTAGCAGTTATAAGAGAACAACACGGAGTCACTAGGTTTAAATTTTACTGATCAAAACTGATTTGCTTCTCAAAATTGACTACCAGATTTCTGTACTAAACAGGTTATAAAAAAACTTGCTTCCACAGTTGAATATACTCCAAAAAAAAAAATGATTTACTTGATTTATACAAAGATTTTAATGTAATTTGTGATACATGCTTATCTCCTACACTAGATTCAGCAACCCTGTTAGAAAAAAAAGAAGATTGCCAACTGTAGCTACATCTATGTTAATCGATGTCATAACCAGCCTCAATGCAATGGAAGTTTTTCCGTGGTCAATCCTACAAATTTTGCCTGGCTAAACTTCACAAGATGGCGAAAAAGCATGGGATATGGCCTCATAAAATTTTTAACATAATAACATGCAAGTATACAACAATAAATATCATATTGAGTTATCTACACCTCAGTAAGAAAGGTGAAGATGATAATGGTATGTATGGCATTGAAGCTGACCTCTTCATGAGCACTCATATTAGCAGTCTGGCAAACAAATCAATATCGATCACACCCTATGTAGCTGGCAGTTTCAACTCCTAAAAGCAGCTTGATTGAAGTTATTTCTTGTTGAATCTTGCGTTTCTGGGCGAGAAAGGGCAAGCATAGCATAAGAACAAGCTGAACCTTAAAATTCAATTCTCGAAGATTCCATAAGAGCAAACTGAGCCTTAATCTTCAATTCTCGATGATTGCTCCGAAGTAGTAGCAGTATTTCCATTTTCTGCATTGGAATGGCCTTCTGGCATAGAATTAGAATCAAGTTTACCAGTGTTCTTTTCATCATCACCATGTTCAGACTCTGAGCTGGCATCAGTGTCCCTTTCAGGACATTCAATCTGCACACACTCAGCAGCTGAGCTAGGCAAGCTTGTATAGCTCTCAGAATCATTACTCCGACCTGAAACCGTAAGGCCTTCCTTTTTAACAACATTAAACACTATCCCATTATGGATTCTCTCCGGCTGCAAAAGATCACCTTCAGTGACAGTAATACTACTAGATCTGCTCAGCCCTGCCCGGTTTCCAGAATCCCGCTGATCATGATCTGCGTTCTCAGAATTCCTGTCGAGTGCTGCTCCCCTTGATTCCCTGCTCACTGATTGCATTACAGCAGAGTTCAGATGTCCTGTCAGACTTTGCTTTGTTTCAGCATCCATGTCCAAACTCTGAACAAAATCGATAAACATGTTAGCAGACGCAGTCCTCATGAGGGGTCCACCAGATCTTGTCCATGTATTCAGATCAATATTTTCAGACTCGCTGTCACTGCTGTCATTTATGTTCCTGAATGTTCTATGATGACGGCTTGAAGGTCCACCTGCTTGCTGAAAGGACGCAACTTCAGCAAGAGCTTCTTCATCAAGAGATCCTGTTGAGTTCTCTCGAGCAATACAGTTCCATGATGGTATTCTTTTTGAAGCATTAAATCTAACGTTAGAAAGATTTGGAACCTGGGTCTGAGAAGCAGCTGCAGCGGCACGCTGAGCACTCCGCCTCAATTTACGCATGTGGTTAAGAAATGCAACACACTCATCTAGAGCAAGTTCAATGGCACAATTGGCTTTTATGGCAGAAAGCTTCTCCCAAGTACATCTTCTACCCTGGTTTGCTGCCTTCTGCAGTTCCCCATATGACGGATTCTGGATAATTTTTGAGTACTGTAAAAAAAGAGGGAGAAAAAAAAAAAATTTAATGAGTTAAAAGACTTGGAACCAAGTACACAATAATGTTTATTTCTGTCTCAAAAGGGGCCAAAACAGGAGCAAACCAGTTCCTTCAGTTAACAAAATCCATTACCATGGTTAAGATACCATTTTCATTTGTAAAATAAGATTACTGCCAAAAATATTCTTTTGAATTATTACAAAGACAAGAAAAAAAGAGAAAAAGACAGGATGAAGCAATGGGACAAAGATGAATACATTCCTTTAAAAACAAGTGATAAAAAAAATCCTGACATCAACAATGAGCTAATCCATGATTTTAATGGGTTTAATATGCTGCTTCTTAAGATAAAATATGCCAGACAAAATTTAAAGCAACTGTAAATTTTCCAGATTTTTCTCCACCAAAATTCTCAGGTGCATAACAAAGGCCAAAGATATAATCAGGTAAAATAAGCAACTAAATTGCTGTAACTTCTAACAAAAGGCCATTGAAAGCAAATTATTTGAGCCAAAAATAATAGACTTTCAGATGTAAGAAACGAGGTAAGATAACAACTACGTAGTACAATTATAGCAGTATAAAGAAATTTATACTATAAACTTCACTGAGATATTGAATACAGCAAACAAACTCAAGATTTATGTCAGAACATACCTGAGCAAGTGTGGCAGGCATCACCACTGTGACATCACCCTCCCAAGCCTGAGCAAACAATTTGGCAATCCCTCCCATGGGAAAACCTAGTTCCAATATCTGGTTGCATCTGTGTTTCACTTCCATCTCAGCCAAATGAGCAAGCTTCAAGTTATGACAATATATTATATTAGCTTCAAGGAAAAAAGTGATCCTACTAGACTTGTCAATCATTGAGTCTGGTAGTTGATTGAAAGTTTACAGACAGGACTTGATATTGAATAATAAGGAGAAATGTTACAAGTAACACCAACTAGTTTTGCAGTTATAATAGGGAACTGGAATGACAGATTATAGAGTATTGTCAACAATTCAAGCCGATTACTGGGTAGTAGCTGAAGAAATTTCAAAGATGGCCAAGATCTAATGCTTAATTCCTAGCTGAATCCAGATAATCAATTTCAATATTATAGAATGTTATTAAACAACTTCTACATAACCCTGTATCAGAAGGATGTAATTCAAAATCCTGCAAGTACTTCGTAACTTCTATTAGTCAAATTCTACAATATTGTCATGACCTAAATAAATCTGATAGTTTTCCAAGTTAAATTTACTTACATGGAAAGGGATTAAGTGAAGCTATAAGCTCAAAAAAATTAGGTGCAGGTTGGGTAAGTTCATCAGTCATATGGATTTCAATGCTAACAGGAGGCATATTCGATGTGTTTGTGGGCAGCAAATTTTAACAAATAAAAAGTGCAATTACCGCAGCTAAATTACACATGTTATACAATACACAGTGATATATGAATCAGTGCGATAACAGGTCTTGCAGCTAAGGATTTTGCCTGGAAAGTTATTTTTAACAGTTCTAATGATTTTAAGAATTACAAATAATAAAACATTAATGCAGGAAGTGCAATGAAAACAGAATATAGCGCAGAAGATTTAAAGTCATTAAGCAATCATATAAGTTTTTGCAAGTTGAATACAATACCTTGGCAGCAAAGTTGCCTCCACATGCTCTCACAAATTCTTTCATTCTCAACAATGGTGATATATGAGGGTTGGCTTGACTAACAATAAAGTGATTAACATTGAAAAGCTCTTTCAAATTCATCATGGGTAAATCGCTCTCCAAGCTACCATCCCTCCACCGGCGTGACGGGGTTGTACCTTCCTCGGGCCCAAGATGAAACGGTGGGTGATAAGGTACAAGTTCACCGAACCTATCTTTAGCCATCAGTTCTTGGGCCTCGAAAAGACCTGGAAATGCACAAGAAGCTGTCACAGCACTCCATATAACAACATGAGGCGAAGTCAAGTAGTTCAGACAACGGGGAGGCTCATGTTTCCTAGGCGAGCATACTGTTATACCAAGAATTCTTCCGGTCATGTCGTAGGCCTCCTGGAAAGTCATATTACTTGTGAGATTCCTCAACAACATTTGAAGCTGCCTGATCTCATGAACGGCTCCTTGGGTCATGACCCTCTTCACAATTGTAAAAATGCCCCCAATTTGGTCAAAAAACTTCAGAGAATGCCATGAATCCTCAAAGAAACTCTGAAGCTCAGGCCAAGATCTAGTAGCAACTACAGAGCACATTATAGATCCTACACTAGAGCCAGCAATTATCCGAGGCAAAAGCTTATGATCCACCAACGTTTTCACAACACCGACATGGAAGGAACCAAGAGAAGCACCACCACTTAAAAGCAAAGCAGTCCTACCAAAAGCATGCCTTGTCTCATGCATGAATGCAAGCTTTTCTTCCAAAATCAGCTCTTCTGAATCTGATTCACAAACCCTTTTCAATTGTAAAGTGACTTCATCAATATATTCCTTTATAAGTTTGGGGACTTGAAGCCTCCCCTTACGAAGCTCAGGATTACACATATTACCAAGATTCCTCATAAGATCAGCCCTCATACAAAAGATGATATCTCTCAATGACCCTTCCTGTCGACGAAGCCTCAACTCTTGGAGCTTGTTCTTCACAAGTTCCTCATCATAACACTCAGCCTCATTCAATTTCGGGGATTCTTTCTCCAACATCTTTGCAGCATGAGACCACTCCTCATAAGTAAGCGCGGTTCTCATCATATTCCTCCAAAACTTCCTCCTATAAGCTATCTCCGCCGTTCTTTTAACATTCGTATATCGGTTCAACACAAAAGCTATAATGGTCACCATTGCCAAAATCCCCTGAGGATTCCGGGGATGAAACCACGAAAACACCGGGCCTAAATAACCTCTAAACACACGCACGAACCCCATTAAAGCCCGAGCCAATTGGTACCCAAAATGAGACATAGACTTGCAGAATAGTATTCTAAAGGCGATTGTCCTACCAACAATTGAACTAGGTCCAATTGAGAATAAATCAATATTTGCTTCATTACTTATAACATCCATAACTCAATCAAATCTAAGCTCAAAACCCCAACAAATTAGAAACTGATATATATACAATACAACAACCTCCAAAACTTGTGATCTGAGCAATATCAAATTCCAAAATCTTCCAATTCCCAGCAAAAATAATCAAACTTTCCTAATTTCAACAAAGGTATACTCCGTAACAAATCAGGATAAAGGGTTTCCAATTAATCTAAAATCAGCATAAAAAATCTTCTAATATGAGGGTTTCTGATATTTTAGCCTAATCAAGAAATTGTGAATAAATTACAAACAATAAACCTAGAAAATATTACCAAATATAAACAAAATTATGGCGGCAAACCTCCAAATTTATCAAATTCCAATGTGAATCTACCTTCTGTAAGATACCCCGAATCAAATTTGAGGGATAATTGCAGAAATTATGAAAAAAATAATTAAAAGGGCAAGCTATTAATAATATGGGGAAGAAAATAAAATAATTTAAAGATGTATCGAAAATTGTGAAGTACGAGTAGATAACATTACAACTTTATTCAACAGAAGCTGATGTAGATCACAGTCAGGATCAGAAGAGTGGATTTGATTGAGTATATTACAAGGATAAGGAAGAAAGACCTTTTATTGTTATTTTATTGGATTTTTTAGCAGTATTTTTGTTTTCTTGTGATTTTCTGGGGATTTTTTTAAAAAATATTTACAAGAAAAAGAGTAAAATAAAATAAAATAAAATAAAATAAAGCGAAATCCAAGATTTTAAATTTTCCAAGAATTTTGTTTATTTTGACATAAAATCCACGTGGATAACAAGATTGATTATGTGAATAATTAAACGTTAATAAATTTGGAAGGTTCGTACTTCTTTGATTTTTTGCAGGGGTTGTCAAATTATGAGATGCCCCACAAGGTAAGGAAACCTAGTTAACGTGGAAGAAAGTTTGATTAAGGTGGATAATTGGAAGTTTTTCTCATGAATCATGATATGAATCCCTATGACACTTAAGTAAAAAAAAAAAAAAAAGGAATGGAGTTAATTACTTTACGCAATCGGGATTTTTTGAGTATGATAGATACACGTTATGATTTCAGATGGTCATAGCTAACATTATAAATGTATTTGAAACGTATAGATTAAAGGCTTTGAACATAAATCTAATAAATTGTAAACATCCAATAAAAAAACTTTGAACATTAGAGAATAAACAATAATTTTACTACATGTCTTGTTATAACTTTTAATCAGGTATCACGTTTCTTCTCCTTCTACCCTTTGAGCCTTAAACTATACCAATACTTAATACAAGTAAAGTTTATTTAACATAAACTTCTTCAAGAGGGTGTATGAAAAATAAAAATCAATATAATTCAATTAGTTTTGTAAAATAAATTTCAATTCATGAGAATAAATTGAAGCATGGCAATATGGCCAATGGGTTGAAAATGGCTCATAATTAAACATTAATGTGTCAAATTATAAGGATAAAGTTAAATGTTTGTCAAAGTGTCAATTGAATATGAGTCAACTATTCTAGTTATAATCGAAATCTCTATTATATAAAGGTTTGAAGTAGTGTTGTCCACCTAAAATAACCTTATTATTCTATTTAAAATAGTTTGTGTATATGAATTTTAAATGTAAAGCGTGCATCACGTACATATAGATTTAGTTTCAGATTTCAGTATATCAAAACTAAATGTAAGATAAAATGATTATGCATGATTAGCAATTTGTACTCTTCAAACTTGGCTACGAGAAGATCTTCGCATGCACCTTTTGATTTCAATTTCAATTGAGATTATTATTTCTCAAAGAAGCCCAAATTTCTCTTACAAGTTGAATAATTGAGTTCAGATACGGTTCTAGTTCGTCTCGGGCTTTGATGATTATCTAAACCCTTGGGCTTTGATGATTACCTAAACCTATGAATGTCCTGGACAAAGCTATACTTTCTCGGTTTCTCCTATTTAACGGATCAACCATTTCTAAACTCTAAGTTGAGCCAGTATAAGGCTAAAAGCAGACACGACATGAGCATAACATAAAATAATCGAGTTAATTTACAACATGTTTAATTAAGCAGGTCCATATGACACAGTACATTTAATTTAACATGTTTTAGTTAGTGTTGAGTTTTCTAACATGAAATTAACATTTATGGAAATGATGATTAATATTTTAAACGAGGCTAACATTTTTTCCATATAACACAAGAACAAGGCACAAATTGGACACGAAAAAACCAGATTAGTGTTAAGGGTTTTCAACATGTTAAATTAAATGGGTAACAGTTTTGGATCTGTATATCTATCATTGTCAAATGATAATACAAATGCATTTAGAAACAATAACTTTAAAACACTATTTTACCAAACACTAATTTTCACATTTACTGGAATAAAGTCTTAGAATAAAACTACTTGATAATATTAGCGATATCACTAGAAAAACAATTGGCCTTGACTCAATTGTCTCGACACTCTAGAGCACATCGAGCACACATAGTCGAGCGCAATGGATATGTATGGAGCCGATTATTGCAATAGGGCTGGCAAATAGATCAGGTCAGGTTGGTTTCCTGTTCGGATCAACTAATTTTGGGTTAGCTATCCCCCAACCCGAACCTGATCCATTTAAATTTTCGGGTTGAAAACTCCAACCCGAACTTGATATTTTCGGGTTCGGGTCAACCCAAAAGTAACCTGATTTGACCTGATTTTTTATTTTTGGGTTTAAATCAGGTTTTGACCTGAAATTAATCGAGTTTGGGTCAACTCAAAAGTAATATGGTTTGACCTAAGTTTTTGTTTGGGTTAAATATGGTGTTTTTGACCTAACATTGGCCTAAACAACCTTAATTTTTCTTTTTAAACAAACTGATATTTTCATTTTTCAAACTAATATTCTCAAGTAAAACACCGAAATCTTATACAATTCGGGTTAAAATTTTCAACCTTAACTGAATCCATTTAATTTCAGATCGGGTTCATATCAACCCATTTAAGTTTTCGGGGCGAAAAACTCAACCTAACCCGTTATTTTCGAGTTGGATTCAGGTCGGGTTAGCTTTTGCCACCTCTACATTGCACCACCCGCCAACACATGATGGCAGCAACGACCTAAGTACCAACCACACTGAGTCAATACTAGATGATTGAGATCTCAACAAGCTCCCTTTTTAACTTTTAAGGTGGGGTGAGGGTGAGCTGATGGAGCTTGGGTTCCACATTGCACATGCATCCCAACTCGACAAATCGGTGATCCAATCAAAAGTGCCCACTCCCTTGGCTTTGGCTCAACTCTAAACGCGTTTTACTGTCGTCATTAGGAAACAGACAGATCACATTCTATATCAATTCAATGGTCAATTGTCAGATTCATAACTTAAAATTCTTTCTGCATCTGGAGTATGCAATAAAGCACACATATTGTACACGAATATAAACTAACCATATAATATAATCAGCTGGAAATAGACAGATCATATTCAGTATACAATGGTTAGATTATAGTACCTTAAGAAAATCAAAGGTGATAATTCAACAGTGGCAACTGTCAACTGTCCATGTACCAAGTATATAATAGTCTCCTCAAATCTAGATGCACATCAGATCTTCAGTCTTCTTCATTACCATAATCGTTCCTCGGTCACCACGGAAATAATTAAAAAAAAAAAAAAATACATATTAAAGGTCTGAAGAGATTATTTTAAGAGAAGCCTAGAATTTTTCCACAAATAATTAGTATGAATGTGTCACAGCTAAATTACTACTCATGAATGACATACACTTGGGTAAATGTAAAATTAAATAAGAAACACTACTGAGTTTATATAATAATCTCAACTCATGTAACTAATCATCGATCAGTATCAAGCTAAAGACATAAGAATAAAGTGCTTATGAAAAAGTATTCATTATTACTCCTTTTACAAAGAAAGAACAGGAATTTAATAATGGAAAAATTGTCAAAAATAATACAAACGTTCACCCGTCCGTTAAAAACAAGTTAAGCTTTCCATTTTTTCTAAATAATACAAACTTTGGAGGGTATCCTCTTTAAACAAGACATTTCACCTATAACCTAGACAACGGGTAGACTTTTTTTTTTTTTTTGATAAATTCATTAAATAATTTAATTAACTCATAATTAACACTTAAACTTAACAATTAAAAAATAAAAATCACTCCTCCTCCCCACCGCCAGGCACCACTCCCTATCCATCCCCTTCCTCGGTGGCGTCTGGCCCTCCGGCGATCCTTTGCCGGCGCCTCAACCCCTCCCCTGCGCCAGCGACCTTAATTCCAGCATCCCCAACCCTCCCCCTCCCTCAATCTCATCTCAAAATCAACAACACTCACAAAACTCAAACAAATCCATGCTCAAATCATTCTCAACGCTTTCAATTCCGACGTTATTACAATCACTAAGCTCACTCAAAAACTCAGCGACATTGGATCCATTCACCATGCTAATCTTCTTGTTTCTTCAACTCCAACCCAAGATCTTTTCCTCCACAATGTCCTCATTCATGGGTTTTCCGTCTATCATTTGCCATCTTCTTCTGTTTCTGTTTATACCCAGTTGCGTCGAAACTTGAATCTTAGGCCTAATAATTTTACCCACGCTTTTGCAGTTTCGGCTGGGTCACTTGGGGATCAAAGGGTTGGAATGTTGCTTCATGCTCACTCAATCATTGATGGGTTTGGCGCTGATTTGTTTGTTGGGTCTGCTGTTGTTGGATTGTATCTTAATTTTTCCAAGATTGGTTATGCATATAAGTTGTTTGTTAAAATGTCTAACAGAGATACGGTTTTGTGGAATACTATGATTTTTGGGTTGGTTAAGAATTGTCGTAATATTGATTCGCTTCGGGTTTTTGGTGATATGGTTGGTAGTAGTGCTGGTCTGCTGGATTTAATTCGACTACTTTGTGGAAATTTGGGGTTTTCGTAGGGCGGGACTACGGGAGGGGGATTTCGTGGGTCCGTTTTTGTGGTGGGTAGGAGTCGGGAAAGGGAGGGGGAAAGATGGGGATGCCGGAAATGGGGTTGCCGGCGCAGGGGAGGGAGTTGAGGCGCCTGTAGAGGATCGCCGGAGGGCCGGGAGCCGCTGGGGAAGGGGATGGGAAGGGGCGGCTGGTGGGTAGTTTTTTTTTAAATAATAATAATAATAATAATAATAATAATAATAAAGTTTAAATCTTTTAAAAAATAAAAACATTAAATAAAAAAAATCAAAGTAAATTATCAAACCAATGAAACAATAACAAGTGTTTCATGCACCTATTATTCAAGTCACTAACTGGTCCTAACTTGTTTAAAACGGATACCCCCTAAAGTTTGTATTATTTAGAAAAAATTGAAAGTTCGACTTGTTTTTAGCAGATGGGTAAAAGTTTGTATTATTTTTGACAATTTTTCCTTTAATAATTAGAAACTGCCATTAAAGTGAGGAGACAGGTCTTACCTCACTCCCACTTGGCCATGCAACCATCAACCACGTAGGTTTGAGAAAGAAAACAGATTAACAAATGGCGAAATATCCTAAATACCCTTAATGAGAAGATCGTGACTCTAGTAATGACATTAACATTTTTCAGCTTGTTAATTGTCTAACCGTTAAGTAACTGGGCCGACAATTTGAGAAAGCAAAATACTCCGTACTCCACTACAGAAAGAAAAAAAAAACACCTACCCCCACAAAACATTTTCTTAAGTAAATGAAAAGAGAGAATCACACACTAAAGAAAGGAAACCTCGTTTTCAAAAGAATGAGCACCAAGAGGTGAAGTTTACAGATAGAATTTATACAAAAGCCGGCAATGCAGGCCAAGTCAATTACTGAATGACCGCCCTTTTGGGTTTAAGTCAATGCAACATAATATTACACATCTTACAACTATATCATGGTCAGTGGCACCTACTCAATTAATTAACAACACATCAAATGAAAGAATGATTGGTCTTCGAAAATAAATCCAATTATTTTCAACCTAATCACATTGAATACCTCTGATTTTATTTCATTCCAAATTACACCAGTCCATAAATTCACTTTTTCCCACCCGAAACAAATAAATCAGCTAAAATTTCAGATATTACATTCACACCCATACAAGATATCACTGATTTATAGAAATAATCCAAGATATACCAAAATAGGGGGGAAATAAAGAAAGTTGAAAATTTCATCAGATTCCGCTAATCACGATATTCCCATTAACAAGATATGGCTATCAGAACATTCTCAGCACAAGAGAGTTATAGGGAAGGAGGGATAGAACCAAGAAAGAAACTGAAAAAGGTGAGGTCAGTTAAGGTTGCAAACCTGGATAGGTTGAGGTTATCAATGAGAAGGGAGAAATATCGGTTTAATCGTGGTGTTGTAGCTTCGTCAGATGATGCTACTGTCACATCAGGATCATCTTCTGCTGCCATTTCTGGTACATCGTCTCCAAATTATATGAAGGCTACAACTAGCTCCAGTGCCAGAATAGGGTCAGTGCAAGCAATTTCAGGTAATCTGCAGTCTAGTTCTGCTGGCAGCAGCGATAATCGAAGTTCATCAGCAAAGTCCGCCTCAAAATTGAGCAAGGTCTCAGTGCAAGAATTCTCTGATCCTGCAGGTGTAAATAAAATAAAAGCAGAGAAAAGCTTGAAGAGGGTACCTAGTTTAAAGCAATCCAAGAAGATGTCTAGTAAAAAATCAATGAAAATCCGGGCCAGATATTCACAGTTTTCAGATGTTGGCATCAATTCAGATGAAATTCTGGACTTTAGCATCCTGGGAGATCAGAATAACACAGACATCATTGGTGGAGGAATGGAAATTGACCCAGAATGCCTAAATGTCAGTGCTTCTCGTGGTCAGGATAGCATTGGCAAGACGGGAACAAAGCAAAAGGGAATCTTAGAACGGTCGAGATCGAGAAGGATGATAAGACTCAGGAGCATAAAATCATCGAGGACAAGGCAGAGGCCACAATCCAGACTCAGTGGTGGAGCAACAGAGCTAATGTCATATGAAACAGAAGTATTCAGTGCAGAACCACATTACATGAAGGGCACCAGCTCTCAAGAAAAAAGAAAGGTAAGTTTTAATTTCATCATTTCATGTCTGATATTGTATTTAGTATGTTAGTTACTTTGAAGAAACATTGAAAAGCATGCGATAAAACAATAAAAATACATAAACAATGAAGCTTTTGATGCTAAGACTGATAAATTGTTCTTTTTTGCCAGAATTCTGACAAGGGTTTGACAAGAACATCTAGTTTAAGGCCTCTAAGGATCTTAGCAAAGATTCCAAGCCTAAGACCTAAAAGGAGTAAAGTAAGGAAAAGACCTCAGGTAACTCCACTGTCAGGAAAAGGTGTTGATCGTGCCACCTGTTCGTCCACTCTAAAGAGAACCGAAGTCCCAGATGAAATTGAACTTCATTCAATGGGTCGAGAATCAGAGGGAACTTCTTTCCATCTTTGCCCATACAGTTATTGCTCTATTCATGGTCACCGCCACCAGACCCCCTCTCAACCTCTTAAAGAATTCATTTCTGCAAAAAGGAAACTGTTCAGTAACCAGAAAGGTGAGAAGTCGGACAGCAAGTCCAGGGGAGAAGTAGAACATTACACAAGTTCCACTGAATCTGATCAGTCAAGGCAGATAGTATCCGCTGAAAGTTATGCGCTTCAAGAAGTTATGAATGTCACAACAAAAAATGCTTTGGAAGCAGAAGAGGATGGAATAGATTTTCTCATTAAAATCTACGCCAAACCCAGGAAAAAGTGGGCTGCTGAAGGTACCCTGAGCAAAGATGCTGAAACATTAAATGGTTCTACTTATGACCAAATCAGTGTTTGGGACTATGACAGGAAACAAGCAGAAACACCCAGTGAGACATCAGAGCCTGAGGTAAGCAACTACAATCTACATAATATGTGGGAAAAAAAAAAAAAAAAAAAAATTATATCCTAAATCAAAAGCAGTTAAGTCTTAAATGAGTTATATTGCTCCAAGAGAAAACATATAAGATCTGGTTTCCCCATCTAAAGACAGATTAAATAAGAGAACATGCTACTGCATTCAGTATTTTAATAAATTTGTCTTTTGGTAGGAAATACCAAGAGCAATGAATGATGTTCAGCAAGAAAAATTTGAGATCTTCAAAGCATGCAATGTTGACTCAAATGACATAATGCTGCAGCAGCCTTTGGAGTTACCTGACAATGGTTCAAAATCAGTGTCTGTCCTTAAGGAACTCGAACCAAGTATAGCAAAAGAAGAGCTTCAGAATTCCTCCAAGGATCCTTACCATTTGGCAAGTAGGGATTCTGCAGTCAGTCCATGTGGTGATCTGATCAACATCCTTTCTGATAAACAGAAATATACAAGCATGTGGCAGCTGATCCATCAACAACTTCTTTCAAGTGAAGCATCAATGGACAATGTCCAGGAAGTCATTCAAGCAGATGAAAAAGAAAGTGGAGATGGAAACACTAGCCATGAAATGAGTAGCTTGGATCTAGAGCAGAGTAGATACAGCAACAATCTCAAGGAAGATGCCTATGACCAAGTTGCAGTGACACAGAAGCTTGAATTACACCAGACTGCAGCCATAAACTTGGTACAAGAAGCACTTAATGCAATATTACAACATGATGCGGAGTCATATCATCAGCAGTCAAATCCAGTCCAAGAAATGGCTTACAGTTCTGTTACAGAGGAAATATCAACTCCTACATCCTCTATTGAAGAAGATTACAGAGAAGATGGTGAAGTAGATGGAAGAGAGATGAGTTTAGGATCAGCAGAAAAGCAAAACAAAATGAAGCAAATGGGTAACAGATTACTGCAAAAAGAACCAGATGAAAAGGAGATGTCCGGACGACAAATCTCCAAGAGTTTCAGCAGGCTCAAAAAATTGTTTATGACTGCAAAATTCATCAAGGCAATGGAAAGACTGAAAAAGATAAACCCACGCAAACCACAATACTTATCTGCAGAACCAGCCTCAGAGAACGAGAGAATATATCTAAGGCATCTAAGCATGAATGAAACAAAGAATACAGAAGAATGGATGCTTGATAATGCGCTTAGACAAGTAATATCAAGGCTGGATCCTGATCAGCAAAGAAGAGTGGCCCGACTTGTTGAAGCATTTGAAACAGTTACCCCGGAGCAGAAAGAGAACACCAACAGGCCTTATACCATGACAAGTGTGCCTGCTCCTGGCAGCAAAGTGGCCAATCCTATGATAGATGAAGAGAAAATTAGATTTGTAGAATCCAAGCAAGATACTTCAGTATCTGATGAACAGGTTTTGCAAAAGAAAGATGATGGAGTGCTGGTATCTCAGAAAGATGTTCCTGAGGAAAAATGTTCAAGGGAAGAGAATAAATATCAGGCAAACATAACAGGTATCTAAATTGATTTTGTTATTTTGCATATAGAAGACATAAACATGCTACACCATTACAACAATTATAATCTAGAAACATTTAACTTGTCCTACAGTTGAAAAAATTCTGCAAGAAGCAGGTGTGACCAACGATTCAGAATCCACATTTGTTGATGGAGGTGTGGGTATTGAAGATCCTATCAATACACTCAGGGATTCATCCCAATATCCTACCAGAGATTCTGAAGTCAGCCTGGCTGGTGATATGACCAGTATTTTCTTCAACAAACAACAGTATACTGGTATGTGGAACCTGATCTACCAACATGCTGTATCAAATGAAGCATCAGTTGATGAGAAGCAAAGACTCAATGAATATGATGAAGAAAACCAAAATGATACAATCGACTGTCGACAAATAACCGACATAGACTCAATCCCAAGTAGCTTCAGCATGGATCAAAAGGAAGATGAAGATAACAAAAGTGCAGCTTCTGAAATCCCTGATGTTGAACAATCAGCTGCCATAAAGCTGGTAAAAGAAGCCCTTAAGGCAATTCTAAAACGCTATGAGCAGCCACCTCAATTACAGCCTAATCCAGACCATCGCACGGCTTCTGATGATGCTAGAGATCTATACATTTCAACCTCTACACCTTGCACAGAAGAAGATTCCATAGAAAGGGTAAAGGATGCAGAAAAGCATGCTGACATAGACCCAGAAGATAGGATGCATCACGTAGAAAATACAAGACTCCCACCACTACAGCAAGTGGAATCTGATGAATTGAAGGCACCTCAGAGAAAAATTTCCAATAGCTTAAGCAAGCTGAAAAAAGCAATAGCAACTACCAGGTTCATAAAAGCAATGGAGAGGCTGACAAAGAGCAGTCCGCGTAGATCACAAAATCAGTGTTCAGCTACAAGATTGGAGGAAGAAAGAATTTATCTGAGGCATCGAAGCATGGATGGAAGGAAAAAGGGTGAAGAATGGATGCTTGATTATGCACTTAGACAGGTAATCTCCAAGATGGATCCTGATCAGCAAAGAAGAGTGGCACTCATTGTAAAAGCATTTGAAACAGTGCACCCTGAACAGAGAGAGAAGAGCATTAGATGCTATCCTACAACAGGTGAAGCTGTTGGTGACCATGTATTAGCCAGCTCCACAAATGAAGTGAAAGAACGCTATCTTGAGTCTCAACAGAAAAGATTGAAATCAATTGAACCGATTCCTCTCATGCAAGATAATAGCATCCTACTACCTTCGGCTTCCAGGGAAGCTTTGCTAGAAAGAATTCCTCAGGAGCACCATGCTCAACAGACAAGCTTAGCAGGTAAGTGTAAATCAATTTTTGTTTGTAGGGAGCTCAAAGAACCAATTATAAAAGGTAATGAACATGCTGCAACATAAAATTATAGCTATTCTGACCATATCCATTGCTCAAAATGTGCCATGAAAACCCAGATGACATATTTCTGCAAGAGACAAGTGAGGCTGCAATATCAAAATCAACTATGAAATTGTCTGAAGAAAGCTCAAGATTATGTTCTATGGTTGTCACACCTGAAGAACCAAATATCCAGGATGAAGAAACTGGGGGAGCTTTTGAACACTCTTCCCCGTTTCCAACTGCTAATTCTGAGGTCAGACCTGATGGAGATATGGCCAGTATTCTCTTGGACAAACAAAAATACACAAGTATGTGGAACTTGATACATCAACATGTCCTCTCAAATGAAGCAACAACGACTGGACAGCAGGAAGTCAATGAGGTTGATGAAGAGGAACAAGGTAATGATGCAAACACATGGCAAGCAATTAATGATCCAGATCCAATCCAGAGTAATCAATTGAAAAAATCCAAGGTAGATGAAGATAATCATAGTGCAGCCTTTGATCAGTCGGAAGCCATTAATCTGGTAAAGGAAGCGATCAATGCAATCCTACAATGCCATGAGCAGAAATCTAAGCAACAGTACTGTCAAGAACCTGGCAGAGCTGCTGATAATGCTAGAGAGCTTTGTGACACAACTGCTCTAGATCCGACAAAAGATAATTCTGAAGAGAACAGAGTAGAAAAACACAGAAATTCAGAGCCAGAAAAAAAGTTGCATGAAGTAGAGAGCACAAGTGCCCCACTCCAAAAGCAAGCAGAACCATTTGAAGCAATCAAAAACCAGAGGAAAATGTCAAAAAGCTTAAGCAAGCTGAAAAAAGCTATTGTTACTGCCAAATTCATCAAGGCAATGGAAAGACTTAGAAAGATCAACCCACGTAAACCACGACATCTGCCTCCAGAGGTGGCCTTAGAAGAAGAAAAAGTTTATCTAAGGCATTTAAGCATCAAGGGAAGAAAAAATGATGAAGAATGGATGCTTGATTATGCACTTAAAAAGGTTCTTTGTAGCCTTGCTCCTGATCAGCAGAGAAAAGTGGCATCACTTGTAGAAGCATTTGAAACAGTCCACCCAGAGCAAAAAAGCATTAGATATCGAACGAAATCTGAGTGGGACAATGCTACTGGATCAGGAAGCACGACAGACCAAAAACGAATTCCTAAGTCAAAGCATAACAGTTCCATGCCTAATAATGACACCATTCCTCCAATGCGATATGATGAATTAGATAAGATTTGTAAAGATGCTACAATTGAAAAAAGTGTGCAAGATCATAGCACGAAGTTCTCAAACCAGAGGATGGACTTATCCCACAAAATTAGTCATTCAGATGACTCCAATTTGCAAAGTCACCATCAAGCCAGCTCAAAAGGTAAAGCTATTCTGATATCCTATTAATCGCATCTATATCCTTGTATATGATAATATCAAGCTAGACAGCAGCACAATGTCTCATTTGTTCATATTGTGTGTTTTGCAGGATCTCCAATCAGTGACCCATTGCGCAAAAAAACAGAGAAAAAAGAGATGGGTGCAAATCCCATAAATGAAGAATTTCAACATGCCAATGATCTTGAGCTGGAATGCAAGGCTAACAAAAACGAAGGCTTTTTATATGACAAGCAGAAGAACTCCAGTATGTGGCATCTGATATATCAACATGTCAAATCTGCCGGTGTCTCAGAAGCTGGCAACAAGCTATCTGAGAGACTGACCGGAGAGGACCAGGTGAACAGGAGTGGCACATCATCTGACGTGGATGCTGATGCTGATGATAGTGATGCAAGCAGCGTAACAAGTGAGATTACTGAGAGTGATGCCATTAAGCTAGTAAAAGAGGCCATCAATGATATCCTTAATGTGCCACAAGACGTCGAAGATGAACTAAATCCAAGCAATAGAACAACTACTTCAGAAGGTCAAAGCATAGAAGTAGAAGAAAATCCAAAGAAAAGTCTATCCAGGGGCTACAGCAAGCTGAGAAAAATTATCATCTGCAACAAATTCATCAAGGCAATGGAAAAGACCCGGAATTTCTACCCACAAACTGGTCGAGCCTTAAATTCTGGTTCAGAACCTAGAAACAGTCATCTGAAGAATTGTGCAGTGGGTGAGAGAAAAGGGATGGATGAGTGGATGCTTGATAACGTATTGCAGAAAGTCATCGCTGGGCTTGCTCCAGTACAACAAAAAAGAGTATCCTTGTTGGTTAAAGCCTTTGAAAAAGTCAACCCAGATCCAGAAGAGAGCGCAAAAAGACTCAGTTACACTAAAACAGAATTTCCTGATAGTAGTTCCTCAGAAGGGAATACAAAGGAAATGGAGAAAGCAGTACCATCAGATTCTTCACAGAACTCAGAACTTCCTGGTGGCGTTCACCTCAAGCTAGATAGATCACCAAATTCCAGCCCAGAAGTAGTCACAGAAAGGGTTCTACAAGAATCCTGCAAAGACAGAAGTCCTGGCTTGACTAGAGAATACGCGTTGAATGGACAAAGTTGTAGTAGTCGTGATCCTTCTGACATTAATGCAGCAACATCCAATGCGATCAGTAATCTCTCAGAAACTAATAAGGACCTAACAGAAATTGATGCTACAAATGCACCAGGTGTTTCACCGGAGGAAAGGAAAAATTCTAAGGATGAAGCAGGTGCTCAGGTTGAGGAGAAAACTTTGCTTGAAGAACAAGAGGTTGAGAATACAGAATTAACATCTAAATTTGCAAAGAAGCCTCCACAACCTGAAGACTTGGAAGATGAGTGGAATTACAGCGCACAAAATAGTAGATCCTTAGAAAAGCCTACAGGGCTATGGGGCCTAATACTGCAGCATGTCTCAGTTGATATGTTGGAGAAAAATGAAGCCCCAAAAACAATTGAAATTGATGCAAATGTACAGGTGGGCAGCAGTAGCACTGAGGTTTCAGATAGCAAAACAGATGATTCTTCTCAGCTTTCATCTAGAGTCAAAAGTTGCAGAGATATGGGTGTTCAAACTCCAACCAGCTTTGAGTTTGAAGAAAATGAAGCAATTAAGTTGGTAGAGGAAGCAGTAGAAGAAATCCTTCTTCTCCAGGACCAGATTTGTGATACGGAATCAATAACCAGTGGCACAACTTCAGAGAAAAGAGTCTACACTGAAAACAATGGAGAAGTCATTGATCCCTCGCTTGCTGCCACAGAAATTGCAGGTGTTGCAACATCACTTCTTACTGATGCAACTCTAGAAGAAAAGAAAACATCATCAGAAGAAAATGTAACAACCAGCTATAGCACACTTTCCAAAGTTGTTATGTGTAGAAGATTCGTCAAGGCAATGAACAAAATGCGGAAGCTTAAAGCACTGCATGCTCAAGACCTTTCTCAGCCACCTCAATCACAAGGAGAAGGTAATCCTTTATTGCGACAAATTTCAACCAGGGACAAGGCAAGTTGGGAGGAAGGAATGCTTGATAACGCACTGCAGAAAGTTATAGGAAACCTTGCTCCTGCAAAGAAGCAACGAGTAGCACTGCTTGTTCAAGCTTTTGAGACAGTTGGTTCACAGCCTGAACCAACAAACAGCTGGAGAGGTAAAGCATCAGCCTTATAAAAAAATAAATGTTTCGATCCAGTGCTCTGAAATGAACATCCAAAATGGATATGATGCTCACATTTTTTGAGAAGATTTATATGAATTAGGTCTCTAGATTAATATAAGTAAGTTCTATAGTACATAAGTTTCATTCATAGGAATCAGTAGACTTGTATAGTTAAATAAATTGGGTTTTGTCCATGACTGTTGGTTGGTGTTATTGCATTATGTAATTATTCAGTTATTGATGTGTATTTTGAGAGGAAAATGTCATATACTTCATGCATGAGTAGCAAAATCAACAGACCACCATGATACTTTATGTAATTATCCTCCCCAACCTGCACTATGGATAGGGTCTCATCTTTTTATGTGTCACATGTCTACATCACAATAGATCTAAACGCTTGCCCATACGGATCACTTGCCCAGGATGAATAACTTTAAAATAAAAACAATAGAAATAGAGAAAGAGATGGGAGACAGAATAGTAGAAAAGCTTAACTATCATTGCTCGATAAACAATTTCTATACCTCTCAAATGTTCACAACACAAGGAGAAACTTATGAGCACTTCCAGACTACTCACTCAACCCACTAAAGAGTGCCCATATTATCAGTCCCAAAATCACTTAGTATGGACTTCTACTAAACAAGACCTTGAGGTTCTTGGTAGCTTCTTTAATGTGTTTTCGAGCAATATCTATTCTACCCACACGACTAAAACAAGACAAACTACAACCAAGTCCATCAAAACTAATGAGAGTCTCATAAAGCATTTAACCATCTCCAGTTCCTTGACCCCATATGTTAAGGGAATACACATCCAGGCACTAAGATACCACATGCTCCAATTTGCGCACACAACCTTCATTACATTAAGGCCACCTTAAATCACCCTTGCCAAAGCATACTAGTAAAGCCTAAATGTGGCAATGTTATTAAAGTGACATTGTTCCTTTAGCTTATCAAATATCAACCAACATCTTGAAATAGGGGAAATAATCAATTAAGTACATACAATGAAATTATGAAATATAGGTGTCGTCGAATTGGAGGCGTGTTACCCAGGTTATAACACGCCTCCATCGCCTATACAGTACACCAGCAGCTAATGTAAACCACATATTTTATTTATTGATTTTATTTATTTATTTTTTCAATTTCCTGGCCTATTATCACCTAACTCGAATTCTTGCACCTAAAGCAGCAAAATCATGGCATTTTCAATTACAACCATTATCATGATTATAGGAAAATTTTCTGACCAAAAATATATGAACAAAGTTTTCAGCTTAACATAAATTACATCATATAATACCCCAGAATGTCATGATTAAGGGGGTTACACAAAAACAAAATGATTAACACAAATTACAATTAAATTAGATAAATTATACAAAACCTATACCCCCAAATTAAAATAACAGAACTAATAAAAAAAATAGTTGTATGTTCTAACCTTCCTGGATTGGAGATTTACAGAAGTTGACGAAGAGAATTTGGCAATTAGTAATTTCTGGAATTTGATTGAAATTAAATAGTTACTAATTAAATGCGAAAATTCTGATTCTAAATAAGTGATACTAGAGGAGAGAGACTGAGAGAGATACCTGGAATAGAAATAGGGAGGAGAGCGACAGAGCGCAGAAATTAGGCGGGAAACTTGGTTGAATGAGAGAACTCATAGTTGGGTTACTTGGTTAGTTGTAGTTGCACTAATTAGTTCTTGGTGCAAAGACCATAACGGGGCGGGGCGTTTGATACGTGAGAATGTGAGTTTGGGATTAGACTATGGGTTTGTGGGATGGAGAAATGTATTGACGGGTTTGGCGGTTAGGGTTTAGAGATAATATTAAGCATAATATGCTACGTGTCTAGAATTCAAGTGGATCATGCTTAGGCGATTAAGAAATAGTTGTGTCATGCCGAGCTCATGTCAATCTTTTAAAACTGAAACCCATGCAAAAGGTGACCCACATGCCTGCGAGCCCCCTTAATTATATTCATATTATTGTTAAATTGGTTAAAAATAAATGGGTCAGCCTATTATGCTCATGTTGGGTTCGTGCCAAATTTTGAAAATGATGTTCATGCATGACTAAACCTGGGCACCGTGCCGGGCCGTGCCGCCGCGGGCCGTGCCTGGCGGGCCACGGGCTGGTTCGTGCCGTGCCGGTCGTGCCGGCGGGCCCAGGTTTTCGTGCCGTGCCGGCCATTTTCACAGGCCAGCCCACGGCACGGCACGGCCCTCGTGCCTGGCGGGCTCGTGCCGTGCCGTGCCGGCCACGTGCCGGCCTGCGGGCTGGTGCAGTTTTCAAATTTTTTTATTTTTTTTTTTTATTTTATTTTTTAAGTGACAATATTATAAATTAATAAGTTTATAATGTATATAAGTTATAAAATTATAATTATAAGGTTATAACTTATAAGTTATAAGTTATTAAGTTATGAATTTTATAATTATAAGTTGAATATTTATGTTTTATAATTTGTATATTCAATATTTATATTTATATATTTACTTTATACTATTACTTTAAAATTTAATGTTTATGATTTATTAGTAATTGGTATAATTTTATTTTTTTTAATATGAATTTACAAATTGTAACAAAACGGGGAAAAAAGGCAAATTGGACTTTGGATGTGAATAATGCGTACTTTATATTATTATTACTTGAGTTGAGAAAATTGTACAATGATAACAATGATAAAAATCATACAATGATGGTATTAAACAAAAATTGGAAAATGATAAAATTGATATTTGATAATGATTAAAATCGTACAATATACAATAATTGTCTATTCTTCTTCTCCTTCTTCTTGCTCGTCTTCGTCTTCGTCTTCGTCTTCGCCTTCGCCTTCAAGGTCATCGGCTAGTTGCATAGATTGGGAACTAGCCGAACCCGAACCGGAAGCGGAGGTTCCTTCTTCGTTGTCGTTGTGGTCGTAAGAACGGTCTTGTGAGCGATTTTCCGCATCCAACCAATCTTTGAAACACACGCACATTTCTAGTGTTTCGGGTTTTAGACTTGTTCTTCTATCGTCTAAAACCCTTCCGGATGCGCTGAAAGCTCGTTCGGAGGCGACGGAGGAAACTTGGATAGCAAGAATGTCTCGTGCCATTGCCGCCAAAGTTAGATGCTTCGAGCTTTGTTGTTTCCACCATGCAAGGAGGTCGAGGCTGTTTATCTCATCGTCGTCCATGCCTTTGGTGAAGTCGTAACTCAGGTACATCTGCAACTCCGAGACGTCGCTTTGCGTTCTCCTGATTGATGAATCACCTGAAAATCTTGAAATCAAGTTAGTAGCTTGTGAAAATAAATGTTTGGCCTTCTTACTTACGTTTTTGGATGGTTGGGAAGGCCCTGAGCGAGGAACGGTGCCATATTTGGCTTCATAGACTCTATATAAAGCAAAAAACTGATCCTTCACATTAGTCTTATAGTTTTCTACATCATCGTCAAGAGACATGCATTGAAAGTAAATGTCAACTAACATAAATGTGTTTTCATACTTTTGCCTAGGATCTAATATGGAAGCAAAAATATAAATCAAAGGAATCTCACTATAATATTTACGCCACTTTTTTTCCATTGCTGGAAGATACTGATCATAATCACTTTGATGGCGATGATCAGCGAAAAGTTGGGCGAGTAAGCATGCATTAGAAAGAAAGTTTTGAGCACAAGGATTGTAAACAGTAGAAAAACAATACGTCATGTTATATAATAACTGTAAAAATTGCATATATCTTTCACAGTTATTCCAATCATCATCATACAAAGCATTTTGTGGAAATTTTTGGTTGTAAAATAATGTTAACGGGCCCTTGTACTCAATTGCCTTTGTTAACATGTCATAGGTGGAATTCCACCTAGTTGGGCAATCGGTTCTAATTTTTATTACCCTTATCTTTTGTTGTTTTAGAAAACTCTTCCATTCTTGGTATCTCATGTTAGAGCTATTAATAGACATAATAGCATCTCTGATTTTGCTGTAGTATGGGCCAATTGCCCGAACTCCATCCTGTACACATAAGTTAAGTACATGGCAAACACATCTAGTATGAAGAGCTTCACCGTCTAATAGTACATCGGTTAAGTTTTGTTTGATAAGATTAGCTGTGTATGTCATAGAGGTTGCATTATCAAAAGTCATAGACATCATTTTATCTCGAAGGTTGTATTCGTCTATTGCTTGCATTAAATGGTGAGCAATGTTAATGCCGGTGTGTGGGTATTCCAGCATTTTGAAATGTATTATTCTTTTTTGTAACATCCATTGATCATCTACCCAATGGCAAGTCACACATAAATAGTGATATTTATAACCACTATCCCAAGAATCGGCTGTTAAAGATACTCTACAGTTAAGGTTACTCAATTCGGCTTGTAACCGGACTTTGTACTCTAGGAAATTTTTCATTGCGGCGGAACGAACGGTTTTCCTAGAGATTCTTTTATGTTGGGGTTGTAGTGCTTTGTTAATGTAGGTGTTGAATGCGTCACTTTCCGAGAAAAGAAAAGGTTGTTCGGCGTGTACTATCATTTTTCCTAGTTCATCCCTATCCCTCTCATAGTTGTATGTAAAGCCGTATGGATGGAATTGGGAAATTTTGGGCTGGGTTGGATCACTAGCTGGTTTTGCACAAGCTTTCACGTGTCTAGATAAGTGTCCCGTCCCGTTTTTGGTAACTGCCGTGAATACACTATTACATGTTTTACATTTTGCCCATTGTTCACCATCTTTACTTAGGACAAAATAACGCCATACCTCACTCCTTCGGTTTTTCAAAAGTAGCATCTCAGTTTCGGTTAACCATTCATGATGTGTGTGATGGTTAGTAGTGGGAGTGGCAGTAGAAGGGGTAGAACCGGAGGGAATTCAGGTACTTTCTTGGCTACCTTGGCTAGAACAATAGTTTTGTTGATCACCGATATAATTAGGTGGAAATTGGTATGGTGGTAGTGGAAATTGGTTTAGTGGTGGTGCTTGAAATCCCGACGTATTATATGGCTCATAGCCCGGGGGGAAGTAAATGGGGTCATTGGTTTGACTCGTAATTTGGGGGCTCGTTGTATTTGGTGGTTCCCTAGAACTACTACTACGGATAAGTCGGCCTTTCCCCCTAGACCTAGATGATGGGTTGTTCGATGCCATAATTAACAATTAATTTTTTAATAAAAAGTGGTTAACTATAATAATAATAATTAATAACAACAATTTTAACAATAAAAATATCAATAATAATAATTAATAACAACAACTATAACAATAACAATAACAACAAAAATAAATAATAACAACAATTGTAACAATAATAATAATTAATAACAACAATTATAACAACAACAATAACAATTAACAACAATAATAATTAAACAAGATTATTCTAATAATAACAATAAAAAAATAAAAAATTTAAGATTAGTTTAGATCTTACAACCGTGCTTCAACGCTCCACTATTACGATTACGAACTTTTTAATTTTTTCCGATATTAGGAAAATAATTAGAGAATTTAAGAGAATAATTAGAGAATTTAAGAAAATAAGGATTATTAGAGATTTAGAGAATATAAGAGATAAGAAGAAGAGATTGTGATTTTGTGATTTGGGAATGAAATGGAGGTGAGTATTTATAGAATTTTTGGGGAGCAAATTGGCAAAAATATAGCCGTTAAGTAGTCGTTTTTTTGGCTAATTATGCAACTAGCCGTTGCTTTTAAACGGTTATATGACCGTTGGCCCGCGGGCCGTGCCGGGCCGTGCCTGCGGGCCGTGCCTGCGTGCCGTGCCTGCGTGCCAGCACGGCGGGCCCTGGCCGTGCTCGTGTCGGGCCGTGCCTGGGAATTCATAACCCTGTCCGTGGCACGACCCGTGGCACGAAGTTCAACTTCCGTGCCGTGCCGTGCTGGAGTTCGGGCCGTGCCGGGCTGCGTCGAACGACGGGCCGTGCCGGGCGGCACGCGGGCCAACCCGGCCCGTGCCCAGGTTTATGCATGACCCACATATGTAGTGTATTTATTATTTACATTACATGTTTACATGTTTCAACTAACTCTTTTAACATTAATTCTACCAAACACCAAGATATCTTATTGTAATAATTACCCATGTAGCTCTTAGCCTCTTACACAAAGGCCAGTTGAGTAGTTTCTTCAAAACAACTTATTGAACTCCAATAAGCTATGTAAAAACATCTATTTTTTAAACACCAAAAATAGTTAAAAAAGTTAATTTTGTGATCAAACTATCTATTTACTCCTAAAGAGGAATGAGGAGATGGTAATCCCTCCGTCTCCCTCCCATGTGATGGGGGTTCGATTCCTCATAGCCCCCATCCCGTGATAGGTGGGAGGCCCCTTCTCGTAGTTTAACGTAAAAAAAAAATAAAAAAATAAAAATAAATAAAAAAAAATCTATTTACTCCTAAAAAGCTAAAATTTTATGAAGTATCTATCATCTTTTTACCAAACTTATAACTTACAAGTATACTTAACATTTCATTCTCTCATCTCTTTAGTCATAGGTAGAGGTAGGTGCCAAAATCACACCCGATCCGAAACCAACCCGAAAAATATCCGATTCAAATTTGGACTCGCGTGGACATAATAATTTGGCATGACTCAACTTAATTTGACCCGACCCGACCTCATCAGATCCGATCCGATCATTTGCTCGAGTATACTACTAGAGTGTGGATAGGGGGTCGTCCAAGCATGGTGGACGATTTGGTTGCGTCCGATTTTTGTTTGAGTATTAATAATAATTAGTCGTTGCGTCGGCTTTCTCAAAAACAAAATAAAAAAAAATAGTTAAATATTGGGAAATTCTATGTGGTGGCCTCAAGGAAATAGTAAATCTAAATGGAGGACAAACTTTTTTTTATAGTTTCTTTAGTGGCATCCTACAATTGACAAATTCATTTAAGTGGCCTAATCATCAATATATGGACTAACCACTTCTTAATTAAATCCCTCCCATTTTCTTAAATTTTGACTACTACTAGTCTACTAGTGTTGCTCGACATTATGATCAGATGAAACCTTTTCATCTTCCATGAAACTCCCACAAAGTATACACCCTCTCATATTCAACTAAAAAATCGAAAAAAAAAAAAAAAACCTGATTCATTTGTGCGATTTTTTTGTGAGATTGTTTATCAATTGTGGACGATTAAATTGTGGCAATATCTCTTTGGTGGTGTGGTTTTTGGGCTGGACTATTAGGGTTTTATGATCGCATTTTTGATGAAATTCGCACAATCTAAGAGGCTAATTGTCTAAAATTTATCTGCAGATCATAACTAAGGTATTTCGATTAATTTCTAGTCAAATTTTGGTTGTTTTTATATTTAATGAGGTATTAGGTCAATTGCATGCTCTGTTTTTGTAGTGTTATTAGGTATCAAGTGAATTTCATACTTATGTTGCTTAACATGTGTTACTTTATGCGGTGATGTTGAAGTGTATGCTTTAAATTTTTGTTGTTGCAGAATGGAGCGAGTGATGGTTAAATTCAATTATATGAGTAATGAAGTGAATGTGTCTATTGAAGATGTTAACAAGGTTATGTGGATTGATTTGATCATTGAATGTGAGGAAGGATTTCGGAAAAATAACTATCATTACCCTGAATTCCCTAGTTTTCACTACTCCTATAACATGAAAGATGTTGTTATTACTTCTGATAGTGATTTAATGTCTATGTTAGATAGGTTAAGTAGTAGAAAAGTTATAACAGTTTGGATTGGTACATTTGATAAGGCTAGTGATTGTGTTATTGCTGCTAGAAGGCTTGCTAAATCAATTGCTAATAAGAGTCCGATGGTGAATAATGATTGTGAGTATACTCCTAGCATAGAACATTTCTGGAATGACATCGAGATAGAGAATGATTTAGAAAAAAGAGAAAAAAAGGGTAAGGGTAAAGCTAAAAAACCTAGAAAGTTAACTATCAAGAGGAAGCTTGAACTTGCTAGTACTAAACACAACACTGTCCAACAACAATCTTTCTCTAATGCACCACTTGTAATTAAACAGCCATCACCTACTCCTTTACATTCCTTAAGTGTTTCAAATAACTCAGCTTTAATCCTTCACAAAATACCTAAGACCACGGCAAGGAAGAGGGGCTTACTTAACACCCAAAGAGAGATTGATGCTATGGTTGTCATAGAGGAGGAGTTTAATGCAGCAGTTAGGTGTAGGCACGCTAGTGTAGATCAGCATGATGATGAAAATAGGCAGCCTATCAATGTTTATGAGCGGGGTGAAACTAGTACAGTTGTACATGATAGGAATGAGAATGGTGATGGTATGACTGAAGATAATGTTGACAGAGAAGATGATGATGATGAATATGAGGATGATGAAGAAATGGGGAACATACATGACACCTATGATCCATATATGTCTGACATGTGGCTGAGGGATTTGATGATGATGATAAGATGATGATGATAACTACTTTAGTAGGATGTATAAAAATGGTGAATTTGTAACTAATGCTGAATTTGGGAACATTGTTCTTAATCCTTGGATGATATTCAGTGATAAGTAACATTTTTTGTCAGTATTTAGGGATTACTGCATACAATGTGGTTTTGCAGTAGTAGTTGATAGGAGTAGTACAAAGAGGTTCACTGCTTCTTGTCTTGATTTACATTATGAATGGCGAATTCATTCAAGCAGGCTAGTACATGGAGTTACTTGGGCTATTAAGAGCATTAAGAACTTTGAACACACTTGTAGAGGTCTTGATGAGAGGAATCCTTTGGTGGATGTAAAATGGGCAGCAGAAAAACTCATGGAAGATATCAGAGCAAATAATGATATATCTGGAAAGACATTAAATGAACTTCTTTGGAGTAGATACGGAGTTAAGATGGCAACCAGTACTCTATACAAGACGAGAAGGGTAGCTTTGAGGGAAATTAATGGAGGTCATGACAGTTCATATGGATATTTGCCCAAGTATTGTGAGATGGTGAAAACTACCAATCCAGGATCAGCAGCCTTTTGTGCATGGACACCAGTTAATCAGCCAGCCAACTGTTACGCCTATGTTCTCTAGCATTTTCATTTCCTTTAAGGGTGCTATTGATGGTCTTGCTACAAGGTGTAGGAGCCTAATTGGGGTTGACGGAGCTCACTTGAAAGGAAATTTTGGTGGGGTGCTTTTGTCTGCAGTAGCCTTAGATGGAAATAATGAATTGTTTCCATTTGCATGGGCTATAGTATCTAGGGAAGATGGTGATAGTTGGAGGTTTTTTTTCTGGCACTTGAAAGAAATTCTGGTAAAATGTGGGAGAGGTAATTACTGGTGTATTATTTCAGACAGACAAAAAGTAAGTAACAATGTTTTTTTTTTGCTTTACCGTATGAGTTTAGTGTTAAATTCCTTAAAACAACTAATCTCATAACTTTTCATTGATATGTAGGGGAATAGATGTTGCATTAACTGATCAATGGCCAGAAGTCGATAGGAGATATTGTTGTAAGCATTTGGTGAAAAATTGGAAGAGTTCATTTCCCGGACCACTAATGTATTCATTGTTTTGGCTAGCTTGCAGTGCCACTTCTCCTTTCACATTTAAAAAGGCAATGGAAAGAATTCAGAAAGTTAATCCAGATGCTTGTGTTTGGTTGTCTAATTTGGGGGATCAGTCAAGATGGACAAGGCAAAAATTTGATCCCAAAATTTGCAGTGATGAGAACAAGACAAATTTTGTAGAGAGTTTAAATGCCACTTTGGGAGTGGATAATGCATGCCTGTATTGACACTTTTGGAAGGTATGATATTCAGTAATTCAAACTTGTTTCATGTATCTATTTTTACAATATTTTACCTAACTCATATCATTTTCAATTGTAAAAGGAATAAGAAGAATGTGCATGGTTAGACTAGTAACAAAAAGACAGAAATGCAAGGATTGGAATGAGTATGAGCCATGCCCTAATGCAGTGAAGAGGAGAACTTGCAAATCTTATCAAAATAAAGAAGGTGAGTATGAAGTGAGAGAAGGAAAATCAATGCTACCTATATCATTGAACAACAAAACATGCATATGTGGGGCATGACAAATATCAGGACTCCCTTGCAGACATGCACTAGGAGCAATAATGTCTTCTGGATTGGACCCATACAAATTTTGCTATACATGGTACTCGGTGCAAATTTACAAACAAGCATACGGGAATTCAATCAACTCCATCCCTAATTACGAGCATTGGCTAGAGATAGATAGACCAACTATACTACCACCACAAGTGAAAAGAGGTATTGGTAGGCCATCTGATGAACCAAATAAATGGAAACGGTCAATAATTGTGCAGTGCCAGAAATGTAAGAGTTATGGTCATAATTCACAAACGTGTAAAGGTGGATTAACAGCCAAAGAAAGAAGTGCTGCAGATGGCACTAAGATTGCAAAGGCAAAAGAAAATAGGGCTGCTAAATCTGCACCACATGCTGCTTGTACAGGAGAGTCATCACAAACTGCATCCGAAGATCCAAGTAGCCAACTTGTTACTGCTTCAAACAGGGGTGGGAAAGGGAAGAAAAAAGTCTGAGTTTTCATTGAATATGTTGAACAAATTTCCGAACTTTGGTGTAATTTTTTGTTGAGACAAACTAACAGTAGCTTTGTTTAGTATTTTGATTTGGCAGTAGCTTTGCTATGTTTAAATGTAGTTTTTTGAGGTGACGGTAACTTTGCTCAATTGTTATGAAGTTTGCCTTTTTGAGAACTTGCTCAATTCTAAATGGTGTATTTTTTTTCTTTGAAATTCTTAACTAGCAGTGTGCATTCATACCTTTTTACTTCAAGGTAAACCAGTGATAAGAAAATATCATCAAATTCATTTAAAACTAACTTTTATTGATACTTAATTGAAATACATAGCTTTATTTCTTAAAACTCCCAACACATCACATTATCTAACTTAATTACATCATCTTCAGATAATAAAAACACAAATTGATAAGAAAATAACAGAAATCTTCATAGCCCTGTTGAAGCAAGCATAAAGTCCTTCTACCACCCTGTGAATGTTATAAATTCTTCCCCTTGCTTTATTGACATTTTAATGTTGCTGCATTAAGATTGATTACATTGCAGCAACAAGCTCAACATTTCAAGCCTAATTGTACGAAGCATAATGATACGGACCATTAGTTTCAGCAACAGAGTTCACTTAACATCATTCTTCAACCAAAATTTGAATAGAATTAATTGAAATACCTTAGTTATCATATACAGGTCAATTTTAGACAATTAGCCTCATAGATTGCGTGAATTTCGTCAAAAAAATTGATCGAAAACCCCTAACTTTTGAGCCCAAAAACTTCACCACCAAAGAGATATTGCCACAATTAAAAAGTCCACAGTTGATCACTAATCTCGCAAAAAAATCGCAAAAATGAATAAAAAATTTTTTGGGGATTTTTTAGTTGAATCTTAGAGGATGTATGATTTAAGGGAGTTTCATGGAAGATGAAAGGTTTTCATCTATTTAGAATGTCGAGCAACAGTAGTAGTAGTCAAACTTTAAGAAAATGGGAGGGTATTAATTATTTCAAGGGTAAGTTAGTCTTTTAAGTAAGTTAGGTTATATAATGGACCATTTAAGAGGTGGTTAGTCCATATATTGATGATTAGGCCACTTAAATGAATATGTCAATTGTAGGATGCCACTAAAGAAACTAGAAAAAAAAAGTTTGTCCTCCATATACATTTACTACTTCCTTGAGGCCACCATATAAAATTTCCTTTAAATATTTTTGTTCACTTAACATTATCAAGCTGCCCGCCTGACCCAAATAATACGGATTGCCTTTTTGTGATCCAAATGGTAGCCCAACTTCAAAGCCAGCCATATAGCCTGACTCGATATTATTCCAATTTGATAGCAATCATATTCATGTCTGATACGGCCCAAAGTAAACTCAAATGAAATTGACAAAAAGTCCATTCTTTTGTTTTTGGTTTTATTACTAGTATAGCTCCCGATGCACAACAATAAGTTTTTTTTTTTTTTCCCCCTTAATATAAAGACTATTATAATTAAAATATATTAATGAAATCAACTAACACATAGGCGTATGTCTTGCATTTTTGAATGTATAATACTGACATCAGTTTTATAAGAAATTTTTATATATAAAAATTTTATTTTTTTAAATTGGAATTAGTTTATACACTTTCTTTTCATTCATTAGAAATTTATAAATTATTTATTTATTGAATTTTTCTCCAAATTTTAGATTTGTTTTGATATAAAAAGGTAAAATTATTGTTATTAGTAGTATGAAATATTGTATACATATTTTGATTCATTTATCAAATAAAAAATTGTTGGAATCATGAAAATGATAATTTAAAATACTTGTATGTTTAGATTTTATAACAATTATTATAATAAAAAGAGAAATTTGGAGAGAAAAAAATAGGCGGGAGATTTTTTTATCACAAAATGACACGTGTCATTTAAGATTCACCTTTAGTATATGTTTATTGATACGTAGTATTTTTTTTTTCCATGTATGTCTTATGTGTTTGAGTGTTTCTTTTAGAGGGTCTTTGGTTTATTATATTGAAATGGATTGGTATAAAATCTCATATTAGAGAAGTATGCATTCTAAAACTCATACTAGTCTTAAGTTATTTGATTTTAATGTTGGAATGGATTAAATTCTTCATTAATAGAAAAAATTATGAATCTTAAGGGGTGAGGTGGGTATGCAATTTCATAGGTATGGGGTAGAATTAGAATTCCTTGGGTATGAAATTCCATTACTAAAAAACTCAACCAAACAAAAAAATAAATGAAATAGATTCTAACTCCATTATAACTCATTCCAAATGATCCAACCAAACGAGCCCTTATATGTTACTGT